AAAAAAAAAAAAAAAAAGAAGGCTTGAGGAAGTATCCAAGGCAATTAGGCAAGAAAAATAAATTAAGTTAATAAGAGTCATATAAATTGAAAAGAAAGAAGTAAAATTATCTGTTTGCCAATCATATGATCTTATGTGTATGTAAGTAATGCCTGATGATTCCACACTGAAAAACTGCTAGAATAAGTGAATTCAAAAAAAGTAGCAGGATACAACGTCAACACACAAAAATTAGTTGCCAGTTCTATATACAGTGAACAATATGAAAAGAAAATTACAAAAATAATTCCATTTACAATAGCATTAAAAAGAATAAAATATTTAAGAATTAATTTAACCAAAGAACTGAAATCCCTGTACAGTGAGAACTATACAACATTGCTGAAATTAAAGAAGACGAGTTTCCATAAATAAATGGAAACACATCCCATGTACATGGACTAGAAGACAATATTGTTAAGCTATCCATATGACCAAAGTGATCTAGCTATTCAATGTAATCTCTCTTGGATAAAATTCCTGACATTTTCTACAAACAAAAACAACCCATTCTAAAATTCACATAGATGCTGGGTGCAGTGGCTCACAGCTATAATCCTAGCACCTGGAAGGCCAAGGCTGGAGAATAGCTTGAGCTCATGGGTTTAAGACTAGCCTGAGCAAAAAGTGAGAACCCCCATCTCCACTAAAAATAGAAGAACTGAGGCAAGAGGATCACTTGAGCCCAAGAGTTGGAGGTTGTTGTGAACTATGACGCCACAGCACTCTACCCAGGGTAACACAAAATCCCTAAATAGCCACAACAATCTTGAAAAAGAAGGGCAAAGCTAAAGAACTTATACTTTCTAGTTTCAAAACATATTATGTAGCTACAGTAATCAAAACAGTGTTGTACAGGCATAAAGGTGAAAAGAGCCCTAAAAAAACCCTTGCATATGTGGTATGCAAAAATCATGTGCAAATGATTTTTGACAAAGGTGCCAAGACCATTCAAAGGGGAAAGATAGTCTTTTCAACATATGGTGTGAGAAAACTGGGTATCTACACAAAGAATAAAATTAGACCCTCACCTAATGCTATACAGAAATTAACCCAAAATGGATCAGACTTAAATTTAAGGCCTAAAACTCTGAAACTCCTGGAAGAAAACATGGTGCAAGAAACCTTCACAACATTGGATGTGGCAGTGATTTTTATTTAGATAAGACACCAAAAACAAGGGCAACAACAAAAAAAACAAACTGGTGTTCATGAAATATTTTTATATTGTGCCTTTAAAAACACTATCAACACAGTTAAAAAGGCAACCCACAGACTGTGAGAAAATATTTGCAAATTATATATCTGATCAAGAATATAAAGAGAAGATAGATCCAAAATATAAAGAGAACTTCTAAAGCCCAAAAAGAGAAAGCAGAACAAAACAAAAAAACCCATTCAAAAATGAACACCAGACTTAGACATTTCTCCAAAAATATATACAAATGGCCAATAAGCACATGAAGATGCTCAATATCACACATTATGAAAATGCAAATCAAAGCTACAGTAATACTTCCTCATACCCATTAGGATGGACAATGCCCTCCCCCCTCAAAAAAAAAAAAAACCCAGAAAATAACAAGTGTTGGTGAGGATAGAAACTAGAACCCCTGTGCACTGCTAGAGAGAATATAAAATGGTACAGTTACTATGAAAAACAGTATGATGATTTCTCAAAATATTGAAAACAGAAATTACCACATGATCAAGCAAATTCATTGAAAAACAGTGTCTCAAAAAGGTATGTGTACATCCATGCTTATAGCAGTATTATTCCTAATAGTGAAAGCATGGAAGGAACTGAAGTGTGCACTGAAGGATAAGCAAAATGTGGTATATCCTAAACCAAGTAAATGTCAGAATAAACAGCTAAAATAATTTAAGGTTTCCAGAAAGTGAGATGTGAGGGGTAGGTAGTGGAGTTGGGCAGAAGACCACTTGTCTTTGAAGAGTACAATATTGTATTATTCAGCCTTAAAAAGGAAATTCGACATAAACTACGATATGCAAGAACCTTTAGGATATTATGTTAAGTGCAATAAACCAGTCACAAAAGAACAGTTATTGTATGATTCCACTCATACTACATAAACCGACTTAAGAGCAGTCAAAATCACAGAGACTAAAGGTAAAGTGGTGGTTGCCAGGGACGAGGTGGAGATAGGAATGGAGTTACTGTGCTAGAGTTTCAATTCACAAGATAAAGACGGGATAGCAGTGATGGTTGCACAACATTACGAAGGTATTAAATACCACTGAACCATACACTTTCAAATGATCATTAGTTTATGTATATTTTACCACAACAAACAAAAACAGGGAACAGAAGAATGGTCAAATGATTTAAAACACAGTTTTATATTAGATTTCAGTCATGGAGGCCAATTTTTTATCTGTACCCTTAAACATTTGGCATGAATGCCTCTATTTTATAACATTAACATGAAATCATTAATCAATAGTTGAAAGCCTCTCATTTTATTTACTCGCTTATTCAGAAAAAATTGATTTCTCTAACTTACCTAAGCTCGTGGGCTTGATAAGAACATCAAGAACATCATAAAAAGGCAGGTTTTTTAACTGCACATCAGGATGGACAGGAGGAATCGGGGGAGATGGCTGCTGCATCTCAAATGTAGGCTTAGTGTCTTGAAGCAGCACAGAACCAACAGGAGAGGATGGTGAGTGAGGTGTAACTGAAGTGGAAGGCAACGAGTGTATTCCTGCCACAGCCAGGTCAGGTTCTACAGGTGATGGGCTACCATCCAAATTGAAAACTGATGATTTGATTGTAGATAAATCAGTAAGTCCCTCAAGAGTTCGTGGATATCGGCGTCTATACAATTCTCGGATTTTAATCTGAACAGCAGGGCTGCAGCCACTCTTCAATAAATGCAGCGCCCTCATCAGGAGGTCATGCTTGCGTCCACTTTTATTCCGTCCAGCAAAGCCTAGTAACACTTGTAGTTCAGAAACTCTAAAACTAGAAACCATATTCTAAAAGGAAGAAAGAAAAAATAAATAAGCCAAGAGTCATCCTCAAGCACATAAAAATCCCATCCTATCTAAAATATACTGTAAAAGCTGATTTTCCAGTATTCTATTATTAACTGGTATATACTAGTAAACTAGCACTTTTATATACAACTTAGAACCAGTACTGAAAAGCAACCTCCCCATAAAAATCACATTTAAGTTATGGTGTTAATTACATTTTGTTGTACTCTTAATTTTAGTACTCTACAGTCAATCAGTTCCTATTAACCATTTTCATTGTCTGATTATGCTCAAATGTAAACCAGTATTTGCTTTATGACTATGAAATCTATAACCAATAAAAATGTTCTCTTCCAAAAATAAACTCTCAGTATAATCTAATGTTTGTTACAGAATTATCACCAATAACCAAATAAAAAATTGGATTTTCATGTTACATATGTAACTTCTGATGCTGAGTAGTAAATCTACAAAATCAATACAGAACTGTGATCCAAAATGTAATGAACTTTTCACTTCAACCTAAACATAAAGGAACAGACAAAATAAAAATATATATATTTTTTAAGATACTAAAGCTACAATTCAATAGTAGTCAGTTAAACTTCTAAAATGACTGGGGCTTGATATCCAAATGAGAAAAAGACCTTTGAAGAGCAAGGAAACGAGTGATCATAAATCTTAAAGAACAAGATTTCCTCCATACAACTTTACTCACCTTCTATTTATTCAACAAAACCTAATAAATACTTTTTACTCCTTGTTGCCTCATGAAGCCACCCACTTAGTGAGTTTCTATCAATTTTGAATTCAGAGGTAAACCACATATAGGTCAGTCACACATGTGCACCATCCACCAAAAAAGAGGAGGAAGTTGTGGAGCTGACCAAAGCCATCAGAAACCTACCATCAGGAGACCTGCCTTCCAGAGACCCTCCTGCCACAATGCTTTGAGGTTTCCCCTTCCCCTTAGTGCTACACCACGTAGCAATGAGGGGCAGTGCTTACAGCTGGTGCTGAACAGTAAGAACTCCTCTTCCTGTACTTTTAAGTTTCAGTGATAGCCCAGAAGCAACTGTTTAAAGCCCTATATAACTTTTAGACAGTTGGTAGGAACAATATCCAAATTTCTAAAATGCAAACAAATTTAAATATGCCAAAGTAATCTAATGCTGTATCATAACTACACATTGTGTACTATATGTCTCCATATTTCCCACTGTGTATGTCAAAGAAAATTAAGTAGTAATCCTAGCATCCATTTTATACTCTGAATTAATGCTTGCCAACAAAAATATAATAGAAACCACATAAATAATTCTGAATTTTCTAGCAACTACATCAGTGATTTTTACCCTATATGCCATGGCACACATCTTATGCATGCCACAAAAATTTTGTGATTAAAGATTGTTAATTAAATTATTTTTAATTATTTTGTAATTAAAGGTTGTTAATTAAATTATTTTTGAAGTTCAAGGCAGTTTTTCGATCAACATAGTTTAAGTGTATTATGGAAGTTTAACTATAGGTTCAAGTGTGCTGGGAGAAAAAGGTTGAAAAACACTATTTAACCCAACACATACCAAGTATTACCATTTCTTTTTTTTTTTTTTGAGACAGAGTCTCGCTTTGTCACCGTTGGTAGAGTCCTGTGATGTCTTATCTCACAGCAACCTCAAACTCTTGGGTTCAAGTGATCCACTTGCCTCAGCCTCCCAAGTAGTTGGGACTACAAGGCACCTGCCACAATGCCTGGCTATTTTTTTAGAGAAGGGGGTCTCTCGTTGGCTCAGGCTGGTCTCGAACCTGTGAACTCAGACAATCCACCCACCTCAGCCTCCCAAGTGGTGAGATTACAGGCATGAGCCATCACCCCTGGCATAAAGTATTAGCATTCCAACATGTAATCAATTTTGTGATTTAAAAATAATCAACTCCTGGGCTTCTGGCCTCACACCTATAATCCTAGCACTCTGGGAAGTTGAGGCAGGTAAATTGCCTGAACTCAGGAGTTTGAGACTAGCCTGACCAAGAGGTGAGAGCCCGTCTCTACTAAAAATAGAAAAACTAGCTGGGTGGAATGGCAGGCACCTGTTGTCCCAGCTACTCAGGAGGCTGAGGCAATTAAGATCACTTGTACCCAGGAATTTGAGGTTGCTCTGAGCTATAATGCCATGGGACTCTACCAGAGTGACACGATAAGACTGTCTCTAAATCGACTTGGTGCCCATAGTACAGTGGTTACAGATTCGGCCAAATATACCGAGGCTGGTGGGTTCAAACCCAGCCTGGGCCAGCTAAACAATGATAATCACAACAACAACAAAAATACAGCTGGATGTTGTGGCGGGCGCCTGCAGTCCCAGCTACTTGGGAGGCTAAGCCAAGAAAATTGCTTAAGCCCAAGAGTTTGAGGTTGCTGTGAGTTGTGATGCCACAGCGCTCTACCCAGGGCAACAGCTTGAGATTCTCTCTCAAAAACAAACAAACAAAAAGACTGTCTCTAAATAAATAAATAAAAATAATTGACTTCTTTAAAGTGTCAAAGAGATATTTTTTCATATTAAGTCTTCAATATCTGTATGTATTTTACACTTATAGTCTCAATTTACACTATTTTTGAAGTACTTAACCACATGTGGCCAGTAGTTAACACACTGAACATTGTAGTCCTAAACCATAATGGCAACATACATCACAATGACACAATGATTTCAACTTGCTTTATTTCCTCCACTCATAAAATGAAGGTTTCATTTATCTTACCCCTATACTGTGGACAGCTAAATGAAGAAAATGTGAGGCCTATCTCATAACAAATAAGCCAGTTACAGTTTACTCATGGTTTCATATACAGAAAGAACCATAATAGCTTTGTAGCATTTACCCAGGCAAAAAATGTGATGTATCTTTCCCAAGGTTCTCAATCTCAATAAACACTTTGATTGATTGTAGAATACTAACAACAAAAAAAGCAGTCATACGGATAAAGATAACCGATTCTTTCTAAGGAGACCACCAGACTAACTCAGAGCTCAATACTTCCCTCCTTAGACTTACTTTCAGATACTCTTCATTTCAAGAAAATTTGCTTTACAGACAGAACAAGCAAAGAACAGAAAAGAACACAAAGTCACTGTAACCTAAGCTCGGCTCTCAAAATAGAATTTCTGAGAGATCTCCTATCACCTGTTTCCAGTGGTAACATTTGGCAAAGGATGCTAATGCAACTGGTTCCATTAGCTGTCATGAATACACAAACAAAAAGGAAGAAAGAGGTAAGGGCTTAGAAATATGAATGGGAGGGATGGGACACCTTTTGCATTGCAAAATGAAATACTGCTGGAGATATAGCCAGCAGCTTTTGAGAGTTAACAAAGCCCGAGGAAAACTTCAGGCCAGCAGTCAGCAGTTGTAGCTCAAGCCCCTGAGACCTTGGGAAGTCATTTCATCCCTCTGGTTGTCAACTTTTATTTACAAATTATAACAACAAAAACTCTCTCCTTTATTTAGCACTTTTTGTTAAGATAATCTTGAAGGAGCTGCGTAAAATTTCATGAATATGTTTTTCTTGCAAACATTACTGGATCCCATTTCTTCTTAATGATGTCTATTTTTTGAATTTGGTCTTCCACCAAGTTTTCAGGTCCTTCCACCAGTTAGTGGGTGTGGTGAGTAGAAAAGGTCATCAGAGCCCTCACTGGGTAAGATCAGCTTGCTATGAACACTCCCAAGAAAGGATTTCAGCTATTTTTCTCCAACTCCATCTTTAGTTAATTGTTTTTTTCAAGCAGAATTTTTTCTGCTCTACCCTGATACCTCTCAAAGGCTCCCAAAGTCTGCCCACCAATACTCAGTTACAACTACTTTGTGATCAATACAGGAATTTCTCTGAGCAGTGGTTCTCAACCTGTGGGTAGTGACCCCTTTGTAACAATGAAAATACATCGTGGCATTAGAAAGGTTGAGAACCACTGCTCTACAGAGAAATATGTTGGCATGATTGAATTTAAATTAAAAAAAAATCTAGCATCTGAAGAAAAGCTAATATAAATTAAGACTAAAAATTTAAATCAATTTTTATCAAATTTAAATAAACACCAAGTTATAAATATTTCCCTGAGACTGCTCTTCAACTCTTAAATATGAGATAAAAATCACAAAAATAGAATGGAATTTGGGGAAGCTCTAAAAGGTGAGAAATCATAATAGACATCCATATACAGACTTTGGAGACCCCCTCCCACTCTCTAGGAATAAATGATAACCAACAGATTAATATAACCAAACCATCAAAAGAGTGACCAAGTTAATGCCAGAGAGCTAGATGCATAATCCTATATACTTGGGAGCCTGAGATAGGAGAATGACTTGAAGACAGGAGTTCAAGACTGTAGTGCACTGAGATTCACCTGTGAATAGCCACTGCACGTCCAACCTGGGTAACATAGCAAGGTGCCCACCTCCTTAAAAAAACAACCACCAACTATGTGACAAATCAGAAAGATACCCCAATTCCTAACTACCACACACTATAGAGATCTCAGGAGGCCCCAGTTAATGATCCTATATTCTTGGTGAAATCATATATTTCCTATAATTAAATCCCCTTTTACATGAGAGGCCTTAAATGAAATTTCTTCCTTTACAACACCATGATTACAATAACTCCTAGGCTAAAGAAATCAAAATTGAAAGTCATCTAGTTAAAGAAACAACAAAGAAAATATTACGGCTCGGCGCCTGTGGCTGAAGCGGCTAAGATGCCAGCCACGTACACCTAAGGTGGCGGGTTCGAATCCCCAGCCCGGGCCCGCCAAACAACAACGATGGCTGCAACCAAAAAAATGGCCAGGCGTTGTGGCAGGCGCCTGTGGTCCCAGCTACTTGGGAGGCTGAGACAGGAGACTCGCTTTAGCCCAGGAGTTGGAGGTTGCTGTGAGCGTGATGCCACGGCACTCTGCCCAGGGGGATAGCTTGAGGCTCCATCTCAAAA